TCAATATCGATTAATTGTCTTGTCATAACCACGTCGGCTGCGCGAGGATAGCTGGCCAGGTGCTAGCTGGAGGCTAATGGCAGCTACACCTTCAGAACGTAAAGTGAGAGCCTTCTACGCCATTAACACAAGTCTCTACGCCTCTCTCAGGGGGCAGTGCTGATGAAAGTTAATTACTTATTTTAATTACATATTTTAAACATGCTGGTACCCGCACACTTACACAAAAATTCCCATGGGGCAGCAAACCCTCCTTCGTGGTTTTTCACTTATCGCGGCAGGGTCCCAATTAACCGTGATAAGTGAGGGATCACTGTGCATGCGTGCGCGCGTGTGTGCATGTATATGTAAAACCCACAATGTTGACAAAATATTCTGTGCAGTATTTCTAAAAACAGATTTGTTTGTAAGAAAACATTGCTATTTTTAATGCTTGGGGACGAAAAAAGTTTTACCGTATTTTCCGCACTATAAGGCGCACCGAAAAGTTTTCCATTTTCTTAAAAGCTCACAACGCGCCTTAAAATCTGGTGCGCCTTGCGTATGGTCATTACGGTAACATGTCGACCCCAAGATGGCTCCTTACTGGAGACATGCTTTCAATGTTATACTTGCTGTTGGTTCAGTAAACTGTGTCGCTGCTTTATTAAATATGTTTTCCTTTTTTTTCCGAAAAAAGGAGTGCTGTTGTGTTGTTTTTTAAAACGCACACTTTATGAAGGGTTTTCACAGTCTCAACAAATGCAGGTACGTCTTTGTCCGTCTCCGTGCCTTCTCTTCTTCCGTTCGACTCGAGAGGCGTTCATAACCGCCTCCAAAAAACGTAAATTAACGATTCCTTCAATGAAACTACAAATATCGAAAATAATACATCAAAACAGAAAATCAAGCGAGGAAATCACAAAATAAATTATATAGCCCCCCCCATAGAATTTATTTTGTGATTTCCTCATTTGTGAATATAGTACACAAAAAAGGAATAAATAAACACTTCTGAGACAGTCCAGTCTCCAATATTTTACTGACATCTGATTGTTCTGTTGAAGCTATGCTCAAGGAAATGCCAAATTAATTCTGTAGGGGGGGCTATAGAATTTATTTTGAGATTTCCTCGCTAGATTTTCTGTTTTGATGCATTATTTTCAATTTTCATCGTTTCATTGAAGAAATCGTAATTTACGTTTTTAGGAGGCGGTCATGAACGCCCCTCAAATCAAACGGAAGCAGCGTAGCTCCATCTAGTGGATGCATTGTAGATTGCGTCTTATAATCCAGTGCGCCCAATATATGAAAAAAATTACAAAATAGACCATTCTTTGAAGGTGCGCCTCATAATCCAGTGCGCCTTTTAGTGCGGAAAATACGGTAATCTTTGGTTTAATTCAATACAGTATTGAATATGTAATTGTAAAAAAAAAATAAAGATGTCTACTTCACAGATTTCACTTCTCATAGGTTCTTTTTAAAACATGTCCGCGCGCGCGCGCACACGCACACACACACACACACACACACACACACACGTTTTCAGCGCTATAACATTTTTAAAGAAAATTCCACAAATGCGGCGGCTACTTGTCACAATGCTATTTAAAAACATTTTTAGGAGGGGTGTCAATTGTGATTTTACATCTGTGTCGGGGCCTCTTTTTTTTATTTATTTTTTTATTGTAAATTGTATTGTATTTATTGTAAATGTCATACACCAACAACATAATGACTCCTACAGTACGAACACCACAGGCCAGTCATTTTCAACAATGAATATTGTGTGCAGTGTCTCACACACACACAAACTCTTCAGTTCAAGCAAGTCCACAAACAAAAATATAAGAACGTCTTTCTCTTACTATGCATGTTGCTTTGCGCCTTAGTGCAGGGACTTCTGACATTCCTTCTCTTGAACAATCCTCTTCAAATCAGTTTAGTATTCCGTTGTTGCCACTCGAAACAGGCACTGTCTACATGCGAGATGTAGTGGTTACTTACTACTTGGGTCAGCTTGCTACATATTTGACGAATATCGACGAACCTCCCGTGATCGACCAGATCGCGCACATGCAAGTATATGCACGCACGCATGCGGGCGCCCAACCACGCACACGTGCGCATGTGCACACACGCCAAGATAAGCGACTGTCGGAACGTCACCGAACATGAACAAAATCAAAACACACAGGCACACAAAGTCTGACATCGTAAGTTCTGCTGTACATAGTGCTGTTGCTTCAATGGCAGCGTCATCGCGGAGGCATTTTCGACGCTTGTCATGTGAAAGCCTGGGAGCCGCATTGAACCAGCCAAAGAGCCGCATGCGGCTCGTGAGCCGTGGGTTCGCCACCCCTGTGCTAGAAATGCAGCATGTCAAAACCTCTTCCACAAATGTAAGATGCTCATTTTAGGTCAACCACTCACCACTCTGGAATGACGACCATTACCATTACAGGAAGCAGTGGTTTACAGCATTTTTTGAGCCAAGGCATATATTTTGCATTAGGAAAAATAAATCTCACAGCAAACCACCAAAAAAAAAAAATGTTTTTTGCAAAAACTGGATATACGTTTTAATTGTGTATTTGCTGCCATCAAGTGGAAGAGCACTTAATTGTTCTGCCTGTCACGATCCATCGACATTAACAATAGATGGACAAAGATACTTTATTTGTAGTACTTAAAATAAGTTCGAAATAAGTGGCTGTAGATAATTTTCCGTGTAAATCGGCAGTCTAACGGGTCATGACAAACTGGTTTAGAATCTGACTCAATAACACAAAGGCTGTTACAATAAACGGTTTCATGCTGTGAAGCAGTAATCTTTAAACAATATTCGGTTTCAAAAGTCATTTGAGAAGCACAGTGTCCGATTTGTATGTGTAACCAAAGGGAAATGCAACACAACTGACTTCATGCATAACACCATATGTCACTACAATATACCCCCCACATAAAACATTCCACCTTACGAAATAGAGAGTCAAGAGGCACAGTAGAAGCATGTTGGAAACAGGAAAACATGTCAGCGGGAGGGTAAAAAAAAGACTAGCAATCGGTAAATGAAGGCTGGAGATCTCCGTTCCAAAGCGGCCTGTTATGGCTCTTCTCCGCATATGTACGACATAAAACTAACCCTAAAGCGCAACATACATACGATTTAAAGATCAAACAGCGAACGCAAGAACAATATCGTGCGCCGTCTCATCATGTTATTTCGATGCTTTTGTCTCAGTTCGTGCTCGTGAGCTAGACAGCGTTAGCCACCCTTAGCATATCGTCATATAAATGGCACATTTAAATAAAGGACGTCACCCAACCACTACAGTCTGATTTTTAATGAAGACAGCACTTACCGCGACATCGATCACATTTGTTGACAAACCAGAGCGATCTGTGTTGGTTCCCAATCACGCAGCTTGTTGCTAGCTGGCCGCTTCCTGCTACGGGCATGGACGTCCGTAGCTACAGGCCGGACCGCCCAAAGATCCTGTTTGGCAGGAAGATTACGTCAAATCGTTTTTTACCTATCGACGCAAGGTTACGATTTACGACGCAACTCACTTTTTATTTGGATTTAACGAGTTGCGTTGAGCTAATGATGCAATTAGTAGGGTTAGCTCTGTGTACAAACGGCTCGTGTTCCTTACATTTCCATTTGTACAGATATATTGATAGTGAACAACAGTCGTAGAATTTTATCATCCAAAGAGAATCTTCTCTTTTAAACATCTCTTTCTTTCAACATGGCAAACCAAGGGGAAAAAAATCTCTTTGTAAACTTATTTTAGTAAGGATTACACGCACGCACGCACGCACACACGCACACACACACACACACACACACACACACACACACACACACACACACACACACACAAATATATATAGAAGTATTTCATAAAACATACCGTAAATGGCTGAATTTCGATAAACTCAACAAAGGAAAAATCAAATCACATTTTCACAGTAATTACTGTTTTTTGTTTGTGTATGTTTTTCTCGAAATGTATAAGCCGGATGGCTGTGTATGCTAATAAAAGATATCCCTTGATAAATCCCTTGATACTCGACCACAATTCCTTTATGTCAAATGCATATTTTAAGAAAAAAATTACACTTGATCTGAATGCAAACTCTAAACAATGTACTTTAGTAAAGAACAGTTGATACCTTCTGTCAGTGTTATTCAAATTGTGACTTTGTAGCAAGCATATAACATGGCCGATAAGTCATACCACCCACAATCATGGTTTCATAAAATAAAATTCACACATATACCAACACACTTATAATAAAAAAAATCTTCGTAAAACTTAAAATTTTGAATCATAAAGAATTATGAGGTTTTTATGTCTATGTGCTTTTTAGATGTCATTTGAATGAATGAGCCATCGATTGCATTCTGCAAAATGGCGTTGGCCCTCTGTGACCATGTATAGAAGTAGGCCTTGAGATAGTACAAAGGAGCAAAGCAACGGATAAGAAAAATGCCTCACCTTGTAAATTAAGCTCAGAAAAAGTTGATTTTACTCAGAATTCTTCCTGCTTGTATTATGAGTGTGTTAGGCAAAGTTCTGCATGTGCGTGCATTTTATTTCATGAAACACTGACTGTGGATGGTATGTTTAACAATGACTTCTCAGTTACTGAGGTGGTTACAAGAACGTAATGATGTCCCCATACATTTTCCGCCTCTCATCATCTAATTTAACGTAAAAGTACATTAAACTTTGAATACATTTTGCAGCTTGTACTAGCATTCCTGATATGCTTTCTGCTGGTGTTACATTTTTTACAAATTAAAATCAAGGCAATTTATTGACTGTAACATTGTTCGCTGTAAATGTGTGGTGCATTTTAAACTGGAAACAAAAACTATGCACAATCATGTACAATCATGATAAGGAGCAAGAAAGAACCTTTTGTAGGTAAGAATATTTTTTCTAAATGTTCTGTATTAGCACATGCTTTGAAATTGACAAGAGAGTAAAACTCATCAAAACCAGTGGAAAAATGAGCAAGTTATCACTTATTTTCAATTTACATTGATCACCACCAATCGCCATGTCGATAACGAGCCAAATTGCTAACCGAGATGACTGTCCATGTTCATCAGAAATTGGATTAGTCACATCAAGCTTGATTTTTAGATGCTTGTGTATCACTGTTGTGCTGCCATGAAAGCAAGGTCTGTCTCACAGGTTTTGTATCACATTCCTCTTTTGCATTTTTGGTGGAATGCCAAATGCCAAAAACACAATTTAATTGGCTGTGGGGTTTTAACACAACATGCCAGAACAATATATTCACTAACAAACATCCTGTCAATGTTTAAAAACTTAAGACACCCAAACCAAGAATACAGACGACAAAATCAAAACAGGAATATATAAATTTGTTGCAATTATTTCCATTGTAATATTTCAGTATTTGTTGGCAACATGTTTTAGAGAAAATCAGAGTTTACTATTTTCATTGCCCTGAGTGGTTTCAACTGTCTTTGAGTCCGCTTGAGTGTCCTCTTCCTGGAAAGCATTCTCCAATACTTTCACAATGGATTTGCAAACTTTATCCTTGAAATCTTGTCCCATGAACACATAGAGCAGTGGATTTAGACAACTGTTGAGAAAGGCCAAGCTTGTGGCTATTGGCAGCCCGAGTGTTATAACATTTTGGATGAGTACACTTGAATACTGATGACTGGTTAGCTCCATTAAAACAATGACGTGAAAGGGAGCCCAGCAGAGGAAAAAAACAATTATAACGGCAGCAATGATCTTAAAGGTGCGACTCGATTGGCTGGCCAGGTTGGGATTCTTTCTGAGACGATGGATGATGGCAGCGTAACAGGCGACAATGACGGTGAAGGGGATCGCAAAACTCAGGAGGAAGCGAGTCACGGTTATGGCCCGATGGCGAAACAGTCGGAGCTGAATTTGCTCTGGTGTGAAATCGTCAGAAAATGCAAAGTTGTTGAAGCAGTTAATGACCTCTTCGTTGAAGAAGGATGGCTTCGTATCCCTGAAGATGAAGAATGGAGTGCTTAGAATGAGAGCCAGCACCCAAACACACAGACTCACACGGGAAGCCTTCTGGACACTGCGGTGGTTCTGAGCCCAAACCGGCAACAACACGGAAACGCATCGATCAATGCTGATCATCATCAGGATGTAAACACTGGCGAACATATTGAGAGCGCTAACTGCACTACTTAGTTTGCACATGAACGTCCCAAAGGGCCAGTGGAATTCTAAAGCAGTGTACGTCACACTCAAAGGAAGAAAGGCTGTGAAGAGAAAGTCAGCCACAGCGAGGTTGAGGAACCATACTGTGCTAACGGTTTTCTTCATCATGAATCCAGTGACACATATCACCACGCCATTGCCCAGCACACCCAGGACAAAAGCCAGGGAGTAAACAACAGTTGACATGATGTTGAGAGAATCCCTCAACTGAGAATTTGAATCGCTTGTATGATTGCCAAAAAAGTAATCTGTCTCATTGAGGTCTTCTCCAAACACCGCGACTTTATTAATGGGAGAGACAGATGTCATGACCTCCATCGTCCTGAAACCTGCAAAGAAAAACATGTTATTTTTTTTCTTCGTCCAAACACTCCCCATCGCGGTTCATAGTGATGCTGTTTACAGAATAAGCAGTTATGCAACATGCTGCAAGTTCCTCCGTTGACAATGAAATGGTTACTTCCTTATGTCGTTATTCCTGTTGGCTAACCAATGAAAGTTGCGTACATCTCTACGTACAAGGGGTCCTCAGTTTCGGATGATACCAACATATGTTTCGAGGTTACGAATGGCATGGTATGAACTAGTTTGCGCAGAGGTCCAAGAATATGCGATCATGCGGCACAAAATACACAGTTTTCATTTGATATTTTCATATTTATTGTTTAGAAGTGTTTTTTTCATATATTCATAGATTTCCTGTAATTATGACTTTACTATTGCATTAGCATCGGTTAGTGATGGACTATAGCTGGTTCGAACTTGTGGACAAGTGTGTTTTGTCATTGCCGTAGAAAGAACACTCCATTGTAAGCCAACGGACCCCTGAACGCAATCTTTATTGATATGAGCTAACGCCAAGCATGAATGTGGGTGAAACTTCATTCCTGTCCATTAATAAAGGTGTGCCTCAGAGTCATATCGTAGGTCCTCTTATTTTTTATGTCTGACAAAATGTTAACACGACGATGATGTGATGATGGAGGTTTTTGTCTAATAACTTCATTTATTGGCACTTTAGAAAAGAGTGAATCCATTTGTTGTCTGTTTCCCAACCTTTATTGAGGCAAGGAAAAAAAAAAATTTACATTAGAAAAAAAAATCTTACAGCTCAATAAAAAGCAGAAATGTCACAAAGTTTAAATGTTGAAATAATGATGAGCTCATCTTAATTTCCTCACAAATTTACTTACAGCCATTTCGTAAAACCCAAAGCTTGATATACTTGCCTGAATTGATGAAAAATACAGTACAATGATGTTGAATATTTTTCGGACCAAGGGAAATTGAAAATTTTCCTGTGTCATCCCTGATGACCTAAAACGGCACATTCCTCAGTGGCTGGAAATTACTGGATGAATGTTCCAAACTAACCTTCCACACAAGAATAACAACATAGTTAAAACTAAAGAGCCTGAATTATGTCTTATAAGTCTCTGTCAGTGTCTTTTAAATCCTATTTACAGTAAATATTCAGTATGTAGGGAAAAAAATGAACTGGGCCACCCAGTAGCTATGAGCTGTAAAACGCTGAGTTTTCTCGGCTTTAGAAATAATGATGCCATAAATTAAGGTCCATCACCAAAAAAAGCAGAATATCTTGCAAAATGTAATTTATTTCAGTAGTTCCATATAAATATTGAAACTCATATGTGGTGGTATGATACAGGGTGGAACATGTGCTGATTTATTTCTATATATATATTTAAAAAAATAATAATTTTCATTATTATACTTAAAGCTAAGAAAGACGGTGATTCTTTAAAAATTCACTCTCAGTAAATCAGATTTTGCCATGGGAACTGATCAAAATGATTTTTAATACAAAAATTAGGTTGCGATTGTCATTCTGAAAAGTATTTACCGGTGTGCTTGTTGTTTAATTCATCCAAGTAATATATGTATAAATATATCAATTAGCAATTTTTATTGAACTACTGAAATAAATGAACTTTTGGACAATATTCTAACTCATTGGGATGCACCCGAGCCAAATAACAACTCAAATAATAGAATATGTACCGTACCTTTCTCAAAGCTCTCCAGTGGGGTGAAGCTGAGACAAAAGGCGAAATTACCCAAGTCAATCGCTCTAATAAAGCAACCGGTGTGATGACACTACCTACTTGGTGTGACTCAAAGTTCATATGCACTTCACTTTGAAACGCTTATTCTTTCTGTGTGTATAGTATCTTAAAAAACATTTTGAAAGTTTCCTAAGCTAAAGGGAAGTTAGAGCTTCGGAAACTCACGCTAGCAAAGAGAACACGCAAATTTAGGGGACGTGCGCAAAGCTTGGCCAACATGCTCCCATTAGTTTATTCTTGTTTCTGTTGATGTTTCATTTTGAGACGCTGATGGATTCTCACTCCATCCCAAGCCTTAGACTCACAACATGCCCATTTTTTTTTTTTTTTTTGGTTGTCGACACATTCTGCAACATTTTCTAGTCAGACTTCAGCACTCTGGAATGCCCTACTAGCGGATATTAGAGTGGTTATTTCTACAAATGTGTTAACTAGGACTATTTACATATATATAAAGATACCGTGTTGCAATTGAATTTACATTAAATCAATTATCCAATTCTGTAATGCATCAAAGACATTAAAACATTAATAAAATCTGAATGAATACATTTGATACACCCATTTTAAGAAAAATCTTTGAAATAAATGCAACAAAAACTCGAAACTCTTAATTGGCTACTGATGGACATTCAGACCTAAACACTTAAAAAATAAATAAATAAAGATCGGTTGGATTTACTTAATTTGGAAAAAGTGCATCGGTTTCACCTAATTAAAATGGTAAACAGATGTAATTTTCTTGTGTTTGTAACAAAAATAAACAAAGAATTTGAATTAATAAGACATTTAAATCTTATGCAACTGAATATTAACTACTTTTTGTTCAGTGTAAGAGATGCCAATTTGACACCATTTCTGTTTCGACTGAAGAGGCATCCATCCATCCATCCATGATCTGATCTGCTTAAAAATAGAGTTCAAAAATATTCAGACAATTGAGCTGTCTTTAGCTGATGATGAGCGCAAAGTTGACCTGCACACACTTGTGGCAATGTCCCATTTCGTTGGGTTCTGTGCATCTGGATAATTGCTGGGTCTTGCTAACGGCTCCGATGTGGCCATTCTTGTTGGGTCTCTGTGAAAGAATAGGAACATTTAATGAGTGGTAACCATAACAGTCAACTCAAACAAGTCACAGTGTAACACAAGAAAATAAAGCCAGCAACAAAGATCATAAGCAGAAAAAGCCAAAGCACACATTTAAAAATCCCCCAAACAGCAGAGCCAATACCAGACTGGAATAGGCTGGAATTAGGCCACAAAGTACATGACCCTGACGGAGACCGTGGCCGGTTCTCAATAAAAATATTCACATGATAGCCCTTCAATTTTGGGTGCCTTGAACTTGGCAAGTTCAGAGTGGAAATACGACCTTCCTGAATGGAACAACTCTGCAAAGACGTTTGACCGGTTGGAATGTAAGCAGACTTCATAATGCAACACAAGGCATCATGGGGTCGTAAGCAAACTGAAGGTAACACAAGTCACCTCCTGATTGCATCCAAAAACGATGGGAATAACAGAGAATGGAGAATCCTGAGACAAAATTTACGCGTATAAAGGAGACGTTACAAAACAAACAGGTTCAAATGTAATGAACATTAAGGTTTTCATTGTGCCACATGCAACATGGAAATCGCTGCCTTGCAGGAGAATAAAAGCAATACGCTCCACTATGCGATATACTGCAGACCCTGTGTCTCAAATTGTTTGCTTCATGAAATTATGAGAAATGCAAAACAGTGCCCCTTGCTGGTTGAATATAAAACAAAACCAAAGGAAAGCACCTAAAAAAACAACCGCAATAGAAATGTGTACTAAACAGTGCTCGTGAGTGAGCCACATGTTTATAAATTGTACTTACGGTACAGGGAAATGTGGAAAAGCAGCTTTTTTTTTTTTTTTACCGGCTGTGTTTTGTTACGTCATCTATATATCATTTATTGCAGAATAGAATTATTGACATCTAAAAATGATATAAAAAATAAAGATATCCATCCAATTCTTTGACAATATGTTTTGTAAACAATAAAACTTCGAGAAAATCGAGAATTCAAAGTAGACTTACATGGACTTAAAGAGTCTTTGTTGAGCCACTGGAGGTCACTAGAGAGAACACATGAATGGATGTTACAAAGCAGCTTCAATGAACGAATTCTTCAAGATCACTTTTATTGTACACACACACTTTTTTTCTATCATTTACATTTTTTTTTTTTTTTTACATAACAGTTAAGCTTTCTTAGACAGGTCGTGTGCTTACATAGCAATACGCATACCATGACATGTGGAGTCCGTAACTACTTAGAGGGGACAAAAGTACAAATGACTGTATTGTGTAAGGCTGCTCTACGATAAGAGTGTACTGTACGTCCATTTGAAATATGTGGAGTCATTTCTCATGTTTTTTTTGGGGGGGGGAGTGCAAAATAAACAAAAAAAAATATCAGTTAAAAGAAATAACTCAGAACATTTTGAGAAAGATTCTTTTCTTTGGATCGTGACAGTATAGCCTGCATTTAGTAAGTAGAGCCTTTAACAGCCATTTATAACGTATTAAAGCATGCAGTTCATTCCAGTTCTAGAGTAAGAATAAAAATACATGGTTGAAAGTGCAAGTTTGGTATTGGTGCTGATGAGTATTATTTATTTATCTATTCAAATAAACAACCTGCTTCTCGAATGAGGACTTGTGAAATGACAATTACTGTATCTTAGAATCATTTCCTCAATTAATGGTGTCGCCACTAATAGACACCTCAAATAGGTGCATCATTCACTTTAGGTAAATAAATAGAAAACTCTGTGTTCCCATTGAGGGGAAAAAAAGAAGTAAGTAACGGGCCCATTTCAACTCGGTAGTTAACCAAAACCGGAGTAGGATACTGAAACAAGAAAACAGTCTCTTAGATGAATGAAAGTGTTTTTCGAATGAGTTTGCTTTGCAGTAATATAGATGATCCCATATTAGGTGGAAAATACAGTATATCTTCAATGATCATTGTCGTTTCAGTCAACTTGCCCCACGATTTTGTTTATGTTTCAAGTAGCTGTACGTGTCTTATTTATTTTACCCTGTCTGCCTTGATTCTTGCCATTTTGCAGCATATCTCGAAAATACAAAATTCTTATTTTGTGTGAAAGTCCAGTTTCACTTGATGTAAATTCGAATGAAATGTCCACAAACAAAACTGGCCATTCTTTGCAGAAACACTCCATGTACAGGTACTAAGTAGATGGGACTTGGGACAGGCACTTGACTAAATTCTCTGGATCGACTCTGGATTTGTTTGAGATGGGAGCAGCTCTCTGAATGTTTTAAACTCCTGTTTTCATGCCAGTGTCGTATTGAGTGTAAAAATACCGCTGGACAGCCGAGGTCTGCGGTGATGTATCTCAACTTTCCATAGCTGACCTCATGCATTTCTTATTTATGCCAGTCGAGAGTGAATCAGCGGCATCTCATTGGGGTGCAGCCAAGTCGTGCGCAATGTTTTTGGTCTTGATTGCTTCATAACACAATTTAACAACAATCAACCGCTCCACACCGACTAAATCCTTCACAATCATTTCACAGAATTTTATACACATCCCTAGTTGGTTTCAAATTGCACCGTTTCCTCTTTGGAGTGACCATACAGCTAGCATGATATAAAAAAAATACCCACAGTCTACAAATGCATCACAGCTTGGTTACAATGTTTTGAACAGTCACATTGTAAATATTGTAAGTGTGGATTCGTAGCAGTTGAGGCAAAAAACTGTGATTATTTGTCAGATACAATGGCTATGTACAATTACAGTATTTAACGTGGGCAGCTTTATACCTCAGCTTCAGAAAGGGACTTCTCTTTGCTTCGACTGGTGACCATTGAGTTTGTATAGGTGTACGAGCGGGAAATCTCTTCCTGGAAAGCAGTCTCCAGCACCTTCAGGATGGACTTACGAACTTTATCTTTGAAATCTTGTCCCATGAAGACATAGAGCAGCGGATTGAGGCAACTGTTGAGATAGGCTAGACTGGTGGCTATTGGGACCCCGATAGTGATGACGTGGTCCAATACTTCACTCTCATAATCAGTCATGTGATTGACCAACTCGATCAGAGCTAGAATGTGATAGGGAGCCCAGCACAGGAAAAAAGTGGCAATGACGGCAGCGATGATCTTGAAGGGGCGACTCGACTGGCTGGCCAGGGTCCGGTTCCTACGGAGGCGGTGGATTATCACGGCGTAACAGGATACGATGACGGTGAACGGGATGACAAATCCCAGAAAGAAGCGAGTCATGGTCATGGCCTGATGGCGGAAGTATCGCACCTGGGTCACTTGTGGCGTGACATAATCATCAGAGAAGGCAAAGTTATTGAAGCAGTTGATGATCTGGTCATTGTTGTATGACGGCCCGGTGTCCCTGAAGATGAAGTAAGGAGTGCTCAGGATTAGGGCCAGGACCCAAACACCCAGGCTCACACAGGATGCCTTCTGCACGCTGCGATAGTTCTGAGCCCACACGGGCCACACCACTGACACGCATCGGTCAACGCTGATCACCATCAGGATATAGACGCTGGCGAACATGTTGAGGAAGCTGATGGTGCTGTTCAGCTTGCACATGAACTTGCCGAAGGGCCAGTGGAAATCCATGGCGGTGTAAGTCACGCTCAAAGGAAGGAATGCTGTGAAGA